GTCTGTATGACGGGCTGGGCGTTTCGCCTGAAACTTCCTCACCACTTATGACCCTGAAGCTGAAAAAAAGATAACCGTTTCATAGATGGAGGGCGGGTGATTTTCAAAATGCACTCTCGCCTTAGCGCCGCACACATTCGTTCCAAAAACCTGGAGTGTCTTCAAAAATTGGGGGCGGTTCCTTTTCAAAATGTGGCTCTCGCCTGAGCACCGCGCACATTCCTTTTCAAAACTTGCACGAGTCTCACGGATTCCCACTGTCAACTTACTAGAAATGGTGGCTTGGAAAGAGTCTGGATCTTGATTCGCGGTGTTGAAATCCCAGGAATGGCGTTCTGGCACGATTCAGGATCGTCAGGAGGCAACAGTTTGGTTCATCTGTGGCGTTGGAGTCCCGAGAATAATGTTTTGGCATGTTTCGGGGTTCAAGCGGTTGTCTTCCAACGAGGCAGTTCCCTGTGGAAATGAATCCTTGTAGGGGTCTATGGAGAGGGAGCTTGGAGGGAGGGTTTATTCTAACACCGTTGATGACTGTTGGGTTAACACTGGTCCTCCTCCTAAGGCCAGAGGGTTATGGGGCTATAGGGCTATTGGACTGTAGGGCCATAGAGCTAGAGGGCTATAGGGCTATAGGGCTATGGGGCTATGGGGCTCTGCGGCTGCGGGGCTATAGGGCTCTAGGGCTCTAGGGCTCTAGGGCTCTAGGGCTCTAGGGCTATAGGGCTAGAGGGCCATAAGGCTATAGGGCTACGGGGCTATAGGGCTCTTGGGTTCTTGGGCTATAGGGCTATGGGGCTATAGGGCTATGAGGCTATAGGGCTATAGGGCTATAGGGTTATAGGGCTATGGGGCTACAGGGCTTTAAGGCACCCGGGCACCTGGGCACCCAGGCACCTGGGCGAGCCGCGGAAATCGGTGACAAACCTTACCTAACCATACGAATCCGCTAGGACCCCTACAGAGGCAAGCTCTGATTAGGCAATATACCGTGTAATTGTAGGAGGGGGGGGGACGAGGCGGGAAGAGGGGAGAAGAGGAGGGGAGGAAGGACGTGAGGGAGGGAGGGAGGGAGGGAGGAGAGGAGAGAGGGGAGGGAGGAGAGAGAGGAGGGGAGGGAAGGGAGGGAAGGGATTGAGAATTAGGGGAGGGAGGAGGGGAGGGGGGCAGGAGAGGGGGGCGGAGACAGGAGGGGGGGACGAGGAGTGACAACTGGTGGTGGACTCCTGCGGGCTTGAGGACTGGGCATGCACGCGCCCGGCCCCTGCGGACGCGGGCCCGCGGCTTGTGGAGCGCCTCGTCTGGAAGGGGGCCCAGGCGACGCAGGCGGCGCCAAGGCCACGGCAAGCTGCTCGACCTCTTCACGCTTGTCCTCGGGAACTTCGGCCTTGAGCTGTCCCAAGAGCTGCACCTGGTGGAGGCCTTCACGCGCGCCACGGCTGCACAGACGTTCGCCGGCCCCGCCGGGAGCAGAATGACCATGCGGAGGTCGCTCCCAAGACTGGAACGGCAGCAAGACGGCCTGGCACTGGCAGCAGGTGCCGCTCCTGTGAACACTTGGTGCAGTAGCACGTCGCTCACTCGAGGTGCCCCTGCCCCTGCTGTTGGCCACCCGCCGTGGACTTGCCACCTCCACGTGGGCAGGACAAGCGCGCCGAGGCGCTGGACGGCCGCTCGCCGTCTCGTGCCAGTGGCGAGCGAGAAAGATAGGGTCCGCGCACCCCTGGCGCACGGGCCCAGACCGGCCGGAGGCGCGGCCGAAACCTGTGGTCTGGCCGCGGGGCAACGGCTTCCACGGGGTCCGCAGGGAACGTCGAAACCTTCGGGTAAAACTGGCACGGGGAAGCGGGGAGGAGGAACAGGAGGAGAGGAAAGCTGAGGAGAGGTCGAGACGAGGAGAGGAGAAGAGAGGGTGGAGAAGGATCAGAGTACGCGCAGGATGCACCAAGAGATACACACTCCGGTCCCATGCCCCTTCATGGAGAACCCCCTACGTGCACCCCGCTTCAAGCCCTGTTTGGGAAACGAAACACCTCTCAACCTTGCAACTAGCCCACCGACCCCCGCTTGCCGGGGGTGAGAAAGCGCGTGAGATAATTGGATGTCCCCCTTCCCCTTTCTCCCTCCCCTCGGGCCGAAGATAAGACCAGACGGGGGGGTCCCGCTTGGGCATCCACGGAGTTTAGACTTCGAGGCTCCAGAGGCCCCAGTTTTCGGGCCTCCTACCCTGACACATCGATTAAAGCGCCAGAATTGCTCTCTAAAGACCCCGAAACCTCCAGCTTTTAGCGGCTAGCTAGACATACCTCCTACCCTGACACTTCGATTGAGGAATTGGCCGTTTTCGGTTCGCGAGGGGGCGTCGCGGCCGTCATTTTTGCGGGTCCAGGTCCGTCGGTTTCGGTCCCAGGCGCTTCTCACTAAGGGGAGGTTTACTAAAGGGAGGTTTGTCCACCGCCGAAGTTTGCGTTGGTGAGCCCTGGGCCCCCGAGGAGAGCTCGAGGACAACCAAGATGGTCCTACGACTGCCAGAGTGGGCTCCAAGACGCCCCAACAAGGCTCCAACAGGGCCCCCAGGAGGGCCCCAAGAGGCAAAAATCGCACCCATCGGTAGGAAACTTGTATTTTTGCAGGTTTGCTTTTTCCGTCGTCATAGCGTCCGAAGCGGCTCAAGAGGTCCCCCAGATCGCGATCGCTTCAAGACGGCCAAAGAAGCCCCGAAGAGGGCTCCAAGACGGCCCAGGAGGCACCCAAGAGGGCCCCAAGACAGACCCAGAGGAGCACAAGACGGCCCAAGAGAGCCCCAACGTGGCCACAAGAGGGGCCCAAGAAGGGTAACTCGAACTGATGTTTCGAATATTCCGTCCCAAGAGGACCCCAAGACCGCCAGCAGGCGCCCATCAACCCCCCAAGAAGCCCCCAAGAGGCCCCCAAGAGGCACAAAAAACGGGCACCGAAAGGATCCCCAAGACTTGTCCCTCCTCAGGGGGCGTAAGCCTCTGGGATAGAAATGCCCACGTCTGACCAGAAAGTTCAAAGAGGTGCTGAGCGAGACCCTATGGGTAGGACCATGTGGATGAGGAACGTATGGGGTGGGACCCAATGGCAGGATCAGACGGGAATCGCTGGCAGTTTTCGACATTCCCGCCGAAGGGGGCCAGTTCGGCAGAAAGCAAGAAAGAAACCCACAGTGCAGGCACTGTTTGGGGAAGTATCCCGAATAACTGCTTCATCCGGTGACATACTAGATGGATCCGAAAATTTGCCGAGATCATATCTGACACGCAGCGGGACATCACGCGAGAAGGGAAGCGTACAACAACATGGGAACGCAAAGGGCACTAGCCCCAGCACCGAGAGGCGCCGACCAACACCATCCCAAGCCGCTCAACTTGACCGTGTCGAAGCGACGAGTCGAGAGAGCCTGACGGAACACTGACGGCAGTGAGGATACCGACGTAAAATTACACCGACGTTGATTGGCGGCGCGCACAAGGGGTAGGGGGAGGAGGGAAGGCTTCTTAGAAGGAAGCTGCTTCTTAGAAGGCGCGGGCCTTACATCTACAGATAAAACCCGCGCCTTCTAAGGAAGCTGCTTCTTAGAAGGAAGCTGCTTCTTAGAAGGAAGCTGCTTCTTAGAAGGAAGCTGCTTCTTAGAAGGTGCGGTACTTCTGAGAAGCGTCCTCCCCCCTCCCCATGACCCCCCTCTGCGCGTGGCCGGGCAGAGACCCTCAGCACCAACACTGTTGAACACCGACATGCGAGTGCACAGCACGGACACGCCTCGGCACGGCACCCTCTGTGGTACATCTGTTACCTCCGAGCATTGAGCAGGGACCGACCGTCCCGGCATTCCTACAGTCCTACCACGAAATGTTAGAACCCAGAAATGCTCCAAAAACAAAAACAATGTTCTTTGAACATAGACCCGATGTGATAAACAAGACAGCCTCAGCCAGAAATGCTCCAAGAACCTTTCGTGGAGACCACGAAAGGCTCTTGGAATACTGCTTGGTAGGGCTATAGGCGAGCCAGGACGCTTCGCCACTGCTTGAGTAGGGGAACAAAAAGTGGCATACACATACAAACTCGGAGGTCCGCGCGGATTTCTCGGATCGGCGCCGGGGCCCCCCGGCGGCGCCTCCGGCGCCACCCCTGACAAGCTCCGCGCGCCAGGGAGGGGGCCCCAGCGCCGATCCGAGAAATCCGCGCGGAACTCCGAGTCTTTATTTTTATGTCGCTTTTCGTTCCCCTACACAAACAAATGGACGCAAATCCAAGGAGCCCCCATATTTTCACACACTTCCTGGGTTTCTGTTTCCCCCCCCGCTTCCCACATTTTCGCAGAAATCTTCCTGGGAATCGACGATCCGTCGTGTCTCTGTCAGTTCTTCGCTCTTTGCTCCCCCATTGAGAGCACAGCACGGCACAGCACGCGGGCGGGCACCGGCACGGCACCTCGCACGACACACGTTGCTAGGGCTCCCAACTTCGCGCTTCGCGCTCCGCGAAGCGCGAAGCGCGAATAACTTCGCGCTCTCGCGCCGCCCCCCCAAAGGGACAAAAGGAGGACGAGGAGGAGGGGGAGGAGAAACGAGGACCGCGAAGCGCGAAGCGCGAATAACTTCGCGCCCTCGGGGGAGCCCTTGACGTTGGCACTGAGCGGCAGGCCGAGCACGGGCACCGGGCACCGGGCACTGGGCACGGCACGGTGCCCCGGGGCCGGGGAAGAGAGCCAGGCACGGGGCACGGCAGGGCTCGGCGCCTCTTCTCGGGGAACGAAAAGTGACATCAACATAAAAGTTCGGAGGTCCGCGCGGACTTCTCGCGGACCTCCGAGTTGTTATGTTTATGTCACTTTGTGTTTCTGACGTCCGCGGGGCCCCATGGCAGCACTCCCTGCTTCGGCACAAGCTCGTGCTGAGGCTCTGGGGCAGGGACAGAACTCGGGGGGCGGGCCAGGAACGGGAGCCCTTCCTTCCCGGAGGCACGGCAGGCATGTCCTTGATCTCCTGCAGCGAGTCCGGCGTCGACGCCAGCGGGCTTCTGTCCGGACTCGGCGCAGCAGGGAGAAGCATGCGACTGAACGAAGCATGCTGCCAGCACTGGCCCAGCTCTCCTTCCCTTGCCCCCCTCTCTCATCCCCTCTCCTGTCCCCGCTCCCTTGCCCTCTCTGTCCCCTGTCCCACTTCATCGCATGACCGTCGCTGGCAGCAGTGCCGCAGGCAACAGCAGCAGCAGCAGTGATGCTCTCACCGCCAGGCCAGCGGAGAGAGCATGATCGGGCTGCACCCGCCCCGGTGGACGGACGTCCCCCTGCTCCCACCCGTGCTCGGCTGACCAAGACAGGGCACACGGCTACGCGCTCCGGACCTGGATGCGTACACGCACCCATGCCAAAAGTGAAGCTTGCATGCATGGGGCGGGACCAGCGTGCAAGCGGTCGAATGCGACTCGGTTGGCATGCGCACTTACCATGCAGGCCACCCCTTGATGTAGACTACCTACCATTGGAGATAGCAGACCTGTGGGCCATGGAACTACTTGCCTACTGCTCGCCCAGCATGGGCCTGCCGCTACACATCTCGCGTTTCCCTGGCATTCCACAGAGACCGTACCAGTGCTGGTGCGGTGCGATTCGAGGGTCTGCCCAGCTCTCGCGCTGCATTTACCTTACGCCCGATGCAAACTGAAAGATACGTTGCCAGCACGTGCACAGCCAACGTCAAATGTAGCGTCCTGTCAGAACTATGCGGCCAGTCAACGACACCAGGTACGAGTTTGACTACACGTCCATCTCTCCACCTCATCATCACTCCCTCCTCCTGCAAATACTCTTACGCGTGCAAACTCGGCAGTGGCTGACGGCTTGATTCCGCGCCAGACGGGCTCATCCGAGTTCAATGCCTTGCCCGACATCATCATCTGCCCTTTAATTACCGGGTTGCCTCTTGCGCACGATCACCAGCAGTTGCGGTGTTCTTTCAGTGTTCGACCAGCCTGTGATCATGTTCGGCGTCGATGCGAACCACCTCCTGTGACGTTTCCGTGCCCACCATCGCCCCACGCTTGGCTGGTGAACCGTAACTCGAGGTCAACGCCCTCATTCTCTCGACCTCTCCCATCTGAGCTCTGCTTCCTCTCTGTTCCGCTGTCCGCAGCGCTCCAAGGGTGGGCCCTGGGGGGAAACGTGGAAACGTGCACTCGACAGCCCTGGCGGAAAAGGCCCGGCATTTCGACAAAACGCATGCAGTCGTGTGGTCATCCTTGTCCGCGTGTCTGCACGTGTGCGCGCGTGCGTGTCCGCCACCGTGGCCCGAGGCACGAGAAGGTGTGTCCTCGGGTCACTTCGAGCTCTCTCACTCTCCCGGAGCTTCTGGGGCTCGTCGCGTGACTCCACCGAGGCCTCGGGGGCGTGGCTCACAATACAGGCTCTGCGATTGCCCTGGGATTGTCCCGTCGGGCCGTCCTGAATCTCTCTTGGGCGCCTCTTGAATTGTCTTGGAGGCCCTGGGAGCCAGCTCAGGAGGCCAAGTGTATGGAATATGAGATGGTTTTCGCATGATCCTCTCAGCGCACAAGACATTCCAGAAGCCCCCAAGATCGTCCCAAGCCCAAGAAGCCCCCATGATTGCTCCAAGAGGGGCGGACCTTTGGGGCAGGAGGAGCAGGAAGCAGCAGCGTTCGACGAGCACCATGGCCATCAGTGCTTCAGTGCTTCAGGAGGAGGTCGCCGTCGGTCGTCATCTGTCGTCATCGTCGTCGGTCGTCGTCGGGCGTCCGAAGTCGTCGGTCGTCGTCGGTCGTCGTCGTCGTCGTCGACCTCTCGCGGGGTGCTCCTGGAGGCCTCCCTCCGCTCACCCCCCAGGGGGGCCTGTTGGCATAGGCTTGGCTGTGGACGCTGCGACAAGCGGAGCCATGGGCACGGGCAGAAGCTCCCCAGTCACACGGCCGCGGGGCTGCTCGACCCCGGGCTCTTTCTCTCTCCCTCTGCCCACCACCTGGCCAGGGCCGCCGGGCCTCTTCGGCCCATCCCCATCAGCGCGCGCTCCAGAGCTCCAGGACCAGATCCTCCCGATGAGCCCCCATGCGTCGGAGACGACGCCTTGGCGCGCAGTGGCCCCCGGGCGTGGCCGCGACAGGGCCCGCGACGGGCCGCACGGTGAAACACGCAGTGGCTGCCCTCTGGAGGAATAGCGCCCTGCTGGAGACATCTCAACCGTTCGCTCCCGTACTCTCGACTCGTCTGCTCCCCGCATGGCGTGCTCCCTCCCTCCCTGACCGCCAAGCCCAAGAGCATCCTTCGCCTCTCCTCACCCGGGGGCTGCCTGGCGCTCACAGCTGCGCTGGTTGCAGTCGTAGACGCGTACGCCAATGAAGGAGGGGGCACCTCACCAGGCCCTTCTGCATAATTTGCTGGCGGACTGCTCCCTTCTCACCCTTCAGAGGATATCTACACGATCGGGTGCCCGAACTTCTGCGAATGCGCCCTGCTCCAAAAAAATGAGTTTCCTCCTCCTCCTCCTCCTCCTCCTCCTCCTCTCCTCCTCCTCCTCCTCCTCCTCTTCTTCTCCTCCTCTCCTCCCCCTCCTCCTCCTCCTCCTCCTCCTCCTCCTCCTCCTCCTCCTCTTCCGAAGACGCCGGGGATGGGAACAGTCTGCCCACGCGTCGCACAGGACCTTGCCACTCGCTTCACGTACGCTCACAAGCTGCTCGTGGCGAGCGATACTTCGCGCAGTGTTTTGCCCGACATCCTACGACGTGATATTTGCAATCCGCGACCCCAAGGTTCCCGATCACTTTCCAGGCGACAGCTTATCGTCCCCCATTCATGTTTGATGGCTCCAAGGCCGAAGATAAGCGGCCCCCGGTGAGCCGATGGGGAACACAAGCAACAGGATTGGAAAACACACATCAGCAACACAAAAAATCGCCGGCCCAACGGGCCAAGGGCGTGCTAAAATCTCCGGTAACTGGTTAACAGTATTTCTAGTTCGCGCGCGCGGGACCCCCCCCTGGGGATCCCCGGACAAAAAATACCCCCGCAAATCCCGGCAAAATCCCGGCCAGGTCCCGACCAGGTCCTGGCCAGGTCCCAGGGAGGTCCCGGCCAGGTCCCACCAGGCTCCCAAGAGCGCTCCAGGAGCGCTTCAAGTGGCCTCCAAGAGAGCTCAACATAGTCCGAGACGGTCCAAGAGCGATCCAAGACGCGAAAGACTGCTTCCAGACAGCCCAAAGCGCCTTCAAGACGCCCCAAGAGGCCTCCAAGAAACCTTCCAAGAGGGCCCACAGAGGCAGAAATGAGTGATTGCCTGGTTCTGGCAGAAACCTTCCAAGAGGGCCCTCTGAGGCAGAAATCAGTTTCTGGCGGTTTTTGGCGTTCTCGCCTTTTCTGCTTACCAGCGCTCCAAGACGGCCCAAGAGGCTTCCAAGACCGCCCCAAGACGGCCCACGAAGTCTCCAAGAGGGCCCCAAGACGGCCCAAGATGGCCCTAAGACAGCCCAAGAGGCGCCCAAGACAGCCCAAGAGAACCCCAAAACGGCCCCAAGAGGGGCCCAAGAAGGGGACCAGGAACCGAAAAGTCCAGCCTTCAGCCCCAAGAGGCCCCCAAGAGGCTCCAAGAGGCCCCCAAGAGGCCCCCAGGGGCCTCCAAGAGGCACCCCAAGAAGCCCCAAGAGGCCCCCAAGGGGCCCCAACACGGCCCCCAAGAGGCCTCAAAACTGCCTCCCAAAGGCCCCTGAGAGGCCAACCACGAGAACCCAACCAACATCCGTGAGGCCTCTGACCCGCCACCCACCGCCCTCAAAAAATTGCAGCCGCCCAACCGCACCGCATTGACAACAACACCCCGACAAACGACAGCGGCGAGGCAATATGGGCAGGCGGAATGAGCGAAGAGATTGAATAAGAACATACTTCAGCCAGCACAGACTCCAGAACAGCTCAGGAGATTACCAAGACGGTCCAAGAAGGCCCCGAATCGCCGAACAATCGGTCCAAGACGCCAGAGATGGTGCCAAGACGCTCGAAGAGGCCTCCAAGAGCACCCCAACAGGGCCCCAACCGGCAAAATCCGCCGGCCCCCTTGTGGGGCCACCAGGCTGTAGGCCCGTGATTCGCAGTTTCCTGTACCAGTCGTAGGTTGTAGTTTCCAGTGTTACAGTTCTGCTTCTTGCTGGTTACTGTAACTAGTTGACTTATTGCTGGTTACTGTAACTAGTTGATTGACCGCGCGAGGGGGGGGGAGGCCCAAAGTGGCTTTTTAGCGTCCCCTGGGCGCGTTGTCTGAATTGCTGGGGGGGCTCGAAATCGACACCGCTCACGCAGATCCGCGGGGTCAGGGTCCAAAAACACATGGGATTTGCCACATTTCTAAAATTCGGTGCCACCCCTTACGCAGATCCGCGGGGTCAGGGTCCAAAAACACATAAGATTTGCACATTTCTGAAATTCGGTGCCACCCCTCACGCAGATCCGCGGGGTCAGGGTCCAAAAACACAGGGATTTGCCACATTTCTGAAATTCGGTGCCACCCCTCACGCAGATCCGCGGGGTCAGGGTCCAAAAACACATGGGATTTGCCACATTTCTGAAATTCGGTGCCACCCCTCACGCAGATCCGCGGGGTCAGGGTCCAAAAACACAAGGGATTTGCCACATTTCTGAAATTCGGTGCCACCCCTCACGCAGATCCGCGGGGTCAGGGTCCAAAAACACATGGGATTTGCCACATTTCTGAAATTCGGTGCCACCCCTCACGCAGATCCGCGGGGTCAGGGTCCAAAAACACAGGGGATTTGCCACATTTCTGAAATTCGGTGCCACCCTTCACGCACATCCATCGCAAGGCGTGGTAACCCAAACTGCGAGAACTCCCTCGGCCCTTTAATCGCAAGGTGTGGTAACCAAGCCCGTAAACCATACACGTCTTACCAATCGCCAGGTGTGGTAACCCCTCTTGTGATCAGTTGGTTTTGCTGATTGCGAATCGGCTTCGCATGAAGTTTCGATACTGCTTCACGACAGCGCCAAGGCCTCATGACTTAGCTCTTCCATGGCCCATTCTCCGAGAGAGGGGGCCGGCGGCAGGGGGCGAAGCCCTTACGGATTCAATAATTCATTCCCTCAGGTTTTTGAAAGATACTGGCGTTCTCACCTTTTTGGCTTCCCGACGCTCCAAGACGGCCCCAGATACCACCAAGATCGGCACAAGAGGCCCCCAAGAGGTTCCCAAGACAGCCCAAAAAAACGACCCAAGAGGGTCCCAAGACGGCCCCAGAGGCCTCCCAGACGGCCCCAAATGCCCCCAAAACGGCTACAGGAGGGTGCGAACACGGGAGCCCGAACGAACGTTTCGAGCCCTCGGCCCCGAGAAGCTCACAGGAGGCCCCCAAAAGGCCCCGGGGCCCCCAAAAGGCCCTCAGGACCCGAAGAGACCCCCTCCCAAGAGGCCCCCAAAAGACCCCCCAGAGGCTTACGAGCGCGCTCCGACGAGGCCCCACGAAGCATCCTTGAGGACTCTGCCCCACGTCAGCGTCGTCGTCGCCGCCGACGCCGCCGTCGTCGTCGTCGTCGTCCGCCGCCGCCATCGTCGTCGTCGTCGTCGTCGTCGGCAGGGTCGGCGGCACCGGCCGTGAGGCTTTCCCAATATAAAAACACACACAGTTCAGCCAGCGCAGACTGCAAATAGATCCGAAGACTGACATGAAGCGGACTGGAGTGGATTACAGTAGACTGGACTAGAGTAGACTGGGCTGGGCCGCCCGGTTGACTCTACTCCACTCTACTCCACCCGACATATTCTACCCGACTCTATTCTATCGTCTGGCCTACTCTACTCTGCTGTGTTTCCCACTCACTCTATTCTACCTGCCCTACCCTACCCTACCCGACCCGACCCTACCTACTCAAACTTGTCCTACCCTACCCTACCCTACCGCAACCTACTCTACTCTACTCTGTTCTACCCTACCCTACCCTACTCGAGCACATCCTACTCTACTCAGACTGTATTCATCTCTGCTCTACTCTACACTACTCTACTCTAATATTCACTGTTACAGTTCTGCTTCTTGCTGCTTACTATTACAGATCTGCTTCTTGCTGCTTACTGTTCCTTGTTGATGGACCGCGCGAGGAGGGGAGGCCCAAAACGAGCATTTTTGACCACGCCCGCGGAGGGTTCTCAGAATTTCTGGGGTGGATAAAATTGACACCCCTCACACAGATCGGCGGGGTCAGGGCCCAAAAACACACGAGATTTGCCACATTTCTGAAATTCGGTGGCACCCCTCACGCAGATCGGCGGGGTCAGGGTCCAAAAACACAAGGGATTTGCCGCATTTCAAAAATTCGGTGGCACCCCTCACGCAGATCGACGGGGTCAGGGTCCAGAAACATCAAGGATTTGCCGCCTTTCTGAAATCCGGTGGCACCCCTCACGCAGATCGGCGGGGTCAGGGTCCAAAAACACATGGGATTGGCCACATGTCTGAAATTCGGTGGCACCCCTCACGCAGATCGGCGGGGTCAGGGTCCAAAAACACAAAGGATATGCCACATTTTTGAAATTCGGTGGCATCCCTCACGCAGATCGGCGGGGTCAGGGTCCAAAAACACAAGAGATTTGCTACATGTTTGAAATTTGCTGCCACCTCTCATACAGATCGGCGGGGTCAGGGTCCGACAACATATGGGATTGGCCGCATTTCTGAAATTCGGTGGCATCCCTCACGCAGATCCGCGGGGTCAGGGTCCAAAAACACAAAGGGATTTGCCGCATTTCTTAAATCCGGTGGCACCCTTCACGCAGATTGGCGGGGTCAGGGTCCAAAAACACAAGAGATTTGCCACATTTCTGAAATTCGGCGGCACCCCTCACGCAGATCCGTAGGGTCAGGGTCCAAAAACACAAAGGATTTGCCAGATTTCTGAAATTCGGCGGCAACCCTCACGCAGATCCGTAGGGTCAGGGTCGAAAAACAAGCAGGTCCCGATACTGCTTCACGGCGGCGCCCAGACCTCATGATTTAGCTTTTGCATCTCCCATTATCCGAGACAGGGGGCCGGCGGCATGGGGCGAAACCCTTACGGATATACTCTACTCAACCTGACCTAACATACACTACTCGACTTTACTCCTTCCCATACTCTACTCCACTCTATTATACTCTACTCTACCCTACTCTATTCTACTCTTCTCTACTCTACTCTACTCTACTCTACTCTACCCCTCTCTACTCCTACTACTGTAAAAACCGTGCAGTGACCCAAACCACCCTGGCACGTTCAGCCCCTTCTCCTTTTCTGGGTTTCGTGGATGCACCTGCTAGAGGCCCCCCCCCCTTGGAAAGGGAAACTGGCCGTTGCTGGCCCTCCCGACCGGAGCC